GTGTGTGTGTGTGTGTGTGTGTGTGTGTGTGTGCTGGCTTCATGGACTCCAGTGTATGCAGACTCCGAAGAGACTTCATGTTTGAACCAGGGGCTCCCCATTTCCATTTTGCATTGGGTCCCATCAATTACGTGGCCGGTCCTGGCAAGGAATGGAAGGGCACCAGACCCTGACATAGAACAGGGACGGCCAAGCTTGGTAGCTCCCTCACCAGAAGTCTCTCAGCTCTGTGCCTCGGGGACCCCAAGTTGGTGGGGGTGGGGGTGTTTGGGGGAACGATATCACATATAATATGATTCTTTTTTACAGCAGAGGCTCTGTAGTTCAGACCAACCTGAATTTTAAGAAAATGTTTTCCCTAGAACTTTGCTACCTGTCAGGAGCCCTGGTGGTGTAGAGGCTACACATGGGCTGCATTCTTGAAGGTCTGCAGTTCAAAATCACCAGCTGCTTCGAAGGAGAAAAACGAAGCTTTCTACTCCTATGAAGAGTCAGTCTCAGAACCCCCCCCCCCCAGGGGCAATTCTACCCCAGCTTAGAGGGTCACTGGACAGTGTTTATGGGTTTTGATCTGCTCCCTGCCTGTGTGATGTGGGTCAACTTGCAGCTCTCTAGATCACCTCCCTCCCCCCACCAACTCCAGATCAGTTGTAAGGGATAATGTCAATCAACATGATGGGCTTAAGCATGACGGTGAACATACATACATTGCTCTGCGCTAAGGACAGTGGTTCTGGAGATGATAATGATGATGATAATAATTAACTGGCCATTATTGAAGGGGAAGGGCCTCCTGTAGGGTGTGGTGCATACTAAAGGTACGCTTCCCCTCCTTCCCCTCCCAGTTCTTGGCCACCTTCCAAGATTCCCCACTGCCCACCCCAGCCCCCACCCTCTCTGCCATCTCTTGGCAAACTAGACCAGGTCCCGCACCCAGGGAAGGCAACCCTCTGGAAGAAAATGGGGCAGAAGCGTGGCGGCCTTCACCACGGAGGCCAGAGTTAATACGTTACCTCCACCTGGGCTCCCCTTTCGCAATCCAGGGCTGAGGCTCTGGTTACAGATTTACTTTGAACAATGTCTGCTGTGTAAAGTCCTCCGTAAAGCGATCCCCTCTTCTCAGGAACTGCTGACCACTGTGCCCCAAGGATGAATACCCGGGAGGACCCCGAGGGCCAGACACAGGTGCTAGGGGATGGGCAGGGTGGGGTGGGGGCTGGGCCCTTTCTCTGGAAGGACAGAAACTCGGGGTTCTTTCTGATGAATCAATCCAGAGGGGCAGCTCCATGCTGAATGTGAGCATCGGGGGCTGTGGGGCTGGGGTCGGTCGGTCGGTCGGGGCCAGTAGAGGTCTCAGTGGTAACCCAAAGACCTCCAGGAGACTAGGGGAGGGGGCTGAGTTGGGCCCAGCTCAGAGAGCAATTCTCCAGGATCTCTAGTCCTCTTGGCCTTCTCTCTCTCTGGTCACTGCCTCCCCCGACCCCTTCCTTAACTTAGGAGGACCCCTGGCTAGACTGCCCAGGCTCCAACTACTCCAAGAGCCAACACTTCGGGCTCCCTACCTCTTCATGAAGCACGGGAAGGGGAAGCCAAGTGAAGCAAGACTGAGTGACAGCTGGGTGGATGGATGGTGGGGGTTGACGGGGGAGGGGTGGGGGCAGGGTTCCAAGCTCGAGCCCCGCTCTTGAGTTCACAGGCCTCTGGGGCAGGCTCCCCCCACCACTACCACTCTGCCCTGAGCTATTTCTCTCTTCTCCACAGCATGACTCTGTGCACTCAGCAGTCCCCAGGCCCCCGCTGGCGACCCTGACCACAGAGCCCAAGTTTGACATGCTGTACAAGATTGAGGACGCCCCACCTTGGTACCTGTGCATCCTGCTGGGCTTCCAGGTGGGCGTCTCCCCAGGCTTCTACCCCCACCCCTCACTGTGGGCTCTCTCTGATCCTGGCCACCGGGGTTACTCCAGGTGACAGGAAGAGAAGACATAGGTCAACACAGTGGCTGTCACCAAGCAGGGGTGCCTTGGGGAGGTTTAGTCACCTGCTAATGGGTGTCAGTAGCAGAGAGGAATGTCTGCGCCACAGGACTTTGGGATGACTGGCGAGGACTCCCCGGGAGTCCCCGGGAGGAAGTGCCAGTGCTCAGTAGATGCCCTTGCTCCCCTGATCTCCTTGGCCCCTGCCTCATGCCCTCCCTGTACCCCCCAGCATTACCTGACGTGTTTCAGCGGCACCATCGCGGTGCCCTTCCTCCTGGCAGAGGCGCTGTGCGTGGGCCGAGACCAGCATATGGTTAGCCAACTCATTGGCACCATCTTCACATGTGTGGGCATCACCACCCTCATCCAGACCACATTGGGCATCCGGTGAGCTGCCCCACCCCGCCCCCACAGCAGGACCATCTCTCTCAAAGCAGGCAGCTGGGACCCCACCCTGGGCCCCTGGACTTAGAGGACCACAGGAGTCTGTGAGCTTAAAGGGACAGGCCCCGGCTGGGCTCTTGCCCTCTTCATCTGGACTGTTTACTTCGAACCCTGGACTCCCCCATTTCCTGGGATCTGTGTGGGTCTCTTCAAAGGCTCTTCCTCTCTCAGGGCTGCCCACATAAGCCTGTGGGCACACCCTGGGCCTACGTGGCCAGAAGATGGCTGTTTGAGGGGTGCTGGGAATGAGGGAGGATTGAGTGGAGCTTGGTCCCAGGAACTGAGCTGTTGGGGTCTCTGAGCCCGGCCCTCACAATGCAGGAGCTGGTGTTGAGCAGGGACAGGACCTCCACTGGTTCCTCTTACTTGAGTCCCCAAAAGTATTAGCGGCAGTCCTGCCTGGAGCCTCAGTGACTTTTCTGTACCCTGGCCCTCCTTCTGCCTACACCCGTGTGTGAGTCGCCTGTGCCTCTCCTCCCAGGCTGCCACTGTTCCAAGCCAGTGCTTTTGCATTTCTGATCCCAGCCAAGTCCATCTTAGCCCTGGAGAGATGGAAATGCCCTCCCGAAGGTGAGCGCACTCCCGAGGTCTCGCTGGAGGAGAGGGAGGCCCAGGGGTCTGGGTCCTCTGGCGCCTGTCCCTGAGTGTGAGAGTCCGTTTCTGCCCTCAGAGGAGATCTATGGTAACTGGAGTTTGCCTCTGAACACCTCTCATATCTGGCACCCACGTATACGAGAGGTGAGTTTGCTTGGGGGGCAGTGGGGCTCTGGACCTGAGGGGGGACTAGGTGGGAGTGAGAGCCTTTGCTAAATTGGGGTGGAAAGGGCTTTGCGGTAGGGCAGGAGCTGTCGTCCTGCTGGTGGCCAGGTCATGGCTTCTCCGTGGTGACTGATAGCTGATCTTTGCCCTTCTCAGGTCCAGGGTGCAATCATGGTGTCCAGCATGATAGAGGTGGTAATTGGGCTGATGGGGCTGCCTGGGGCCCTGCTCAGCTACATTGGGCCTCTCACAGTCACCCCCACCGTCTCCCTCATTGGTCTCTCTGTCTTCCAAGCTGCTGGCGACCGAGCTGGCTCCCACTGGGGCATCTCAGCTTGGTGAGCAGGCACCAGGCCTGGTGCCTACACAGCCCAACCCCGGCCCCGCCCCTCACGTCCTGCCCTCATATTCTGGCCCCTGATCCCAGTCTAGTCTTCCAGCCACCGCCTCCTTGTGCCTCTGCCCCCAGCTCCATTCTTCTGATCGTCCTCTTCTCCCAGTACCTGCGCAACCTCACCTTCCTGCTGCCTGTGTACCGCTGGGGCAAAGGCCTTAGTCTCTTCCGCATCCAGATCTTCAAGATGTTTCCCGTGAGGAGCTAGCAGGCGTGGGGCCGGGACTAGGGCAGGGGCTGGACTTGGGCCCGGGGCTGAGGTGGGGCAAGAGCCAAGATGAGGGCCAAGCCTGGTGCTGGAGCAGGGCTGGAGCTGGAGTCTGAGCTAGCACCTGGGCAAAGGCTGAGCCTGAGGCTGCCCCTTCAGTGTCCTCAGTGTGCCCTCGTCCCACCCCACTTCAGATTGTCCTGGCCATCATGACCGTGTGGCTGCTCTGCTATGTCCTGACGCTGACAGATGTGCTGCCCACAGACCCATCAGCCTATGGCTACCAGGCACGGACGGACGCCCGTGGGGACATCATGGCAATTGCACCTTGGATCCGCATCCCCTACCCATGTGAGCAACCCTCTCTGGGCCTGAGAACCCCCTGGTGTCCTCGGTCCAGCTGATGACATTATAAATAGCATGAGCTACATTTACTGTGAGACAGGCCGTTTCATTCAGTCTCATGCCTCCTTACCCACCCACTACTACTCTCTGATCTATTTCAGATCCCACCCCCCATCCCCCAGTGCCCTCAAGGCCTCCTCTCTCTCTCTGACCCAGGTCAGTGGGGACTGCCCACAGTGACTGCAGCTGCTGTCCTGGGCATGTTCAGTGCTACCCTGGCAGGCATCATTGAGTCCATTGGCGATTACTATGCTTGTGCCCGCCTGGCTGGTGCACCACCCCCTCCAGTACATGCTATCAACAGGTATACCCGCCTGGCCACCCCCCAGGATGCAGATGTCGGGTTGGGTCCCAGAGGTGTGGACTTGGGCTTATCACTCTCTCTAAACTTCATTTTCCTTATGGATCGAGGATGCGCATTCCTCCGTGACTGTTGAGGGGCTGGATTCACTGCAGATTAATAAGCAAGCACATGTACACCTGTGCTTACTCTGCTTATTGTGTAATCAGTCGCAGGGGTAGGACTGGGCCAAGTCCCCCATTTGCCCTTTCCTTCCAGGGGCATCTTCACTGAAGGCATCTGCTGCATTATTGCCGGCCTGTTGGGTACCGGTAACGGCTCCACTTCGTCCAGCCCAAACATTGGTGTTCTGGGGATCACCAAGGTACCGGCCCACCTGAGCAGCACTAATCCCTCCCTAGTCTTAACCCCAGCTTTGCCTTGCTTCCCTAGGCCACACTTTGGCCCCGCCCCTACTCTCCCTGCAGGTGGGCAGTAGGCGTGTGGTGCAGTATGGCGCAGGCATCATGCTGATCCTGGGCACCATTGGCAAGTTCACGGCCCTGTTTGCTTCGCTTCCCGACCCCATTTTGGGGGGCATGTTCTGTACTCTGTTTGGTGAGTGCAGGGCCCCAGGCTGAGGAGTGGGGGTATGGGCTGTGTGCAGACTGGTGGGGTTCCACCCAGACAGTGCTTCAGCGATTCTCCTGCACGATCCTAGGGATGATTACGGCCGTGGGACTGTCCAACCTGCAGTTCGTGGACATGAACTCCTCTCGGAACCTCTTTGTGTTGGGCTTTTCCATGTTCTTCGGGCTCACATTGCCCAATTACCTGGAGTCCAACCCCGGCGCCATCAACACAGGTGCTTCAGCCAGTTTGCACATCTGAGGGAGGGGGGATCCGGGCCCACGACACTGAGCACAGCCAGCTTCCCAAAAGGAGCATTAAAAAAAAAGCCTCCACAAATCCTGCCCAACTCTGGGTATTAACCAGGAGTGGGGAGGATAATTAGCAAGTGTCCTTGTTTAAGACACTGTGGCTCCATAATGGGTTTTACCCATCTAAAGTTCACAACAGCTTTGTGAGGTAGATGATTACCATCCCCGTTTTACAGATAAGGGAAGTGGATCTCTGAGTGATTTATCCCAAGTCAGCAACTAGCAACGGGCAGAACTGGGAGAGGGAGAGATGAAAGGCAAGAAAGAGGGCTCAGCCCTCTCTGCCTCTGGAAAGGCTTTCTTTGGTGCTGTCTCTGTCCCAGGGAGGCTAGGCTGTGCATGAGAAAGTCCCTGGATCCCCCCTGCCCACAAGGTGATGTCATGATGCTCCGTCTTAAGAGCCTTGGACCATTCCACAGGCATCCCCGAAGTGGACCAGATTCTGACTGTGCTGCTGACCACAGAGATGTTTGTGGGCGGGTGCCTCGCTTTCATTCTGGATAACACAGTGCCAGGTATGATTCAGACGTTGGAGGGAGGGCGAAGAACTAAGCTAGACTTCTGCCCTCCACTAGATGGTCACAGCGCAGACCCCTCTGAGAGAAGGGCTGGTGGAGTGTGTGCTGAGCCTGAGGGAGGGTGGGACCCAAGGAACACATGTTCATAGATCTTGGATGGTGGCCGGGGAGTCATTCTTAGATCTTGTTGTCTTATCTTCTCTAGAAGAATGTGTTCTTATTGTGCATTTTGTTGGACATGTACATTTCAGTGACAGATGCGGCTGGAATTGGGCAAACATTTCCACCCTTTTTGAATCCTTCTTCCCGTTAACATCAACTTCCCTCTGGGGCACCTAGCTAATCATCTGAGTTGCTGTTATCAATTTGATCTCATATAAATACATCTTAGAAGAGCTGACTGCTCAAAGCAGACATTTTTACCTGTGCAGTCAAACCATTATTAGGTTTCAAGATGACAACAGTGGCTATTTTTGGTTTGAGGTTAATTTTAAAGCAGTAGTTTCAAGTATTCAGCAAGCCTTCATGTCTCCAGAAAGCCTGGATTCCATGAGGCTATAAAATTCTCTCCTGCCTTTTTCCTTTTGATCAAGATTCTACTATCATTCTTTGATCAAAAGGTAATGGTGGCCAGGCACCATTCAGTTCTAGCCTCAAAGTGAAGGAAGCAGTGGCTCATAGAAGCAGTTAGCCACACATTGCATTGCCTCTTCTTATTCCTGACTCTCCTCTTTCCTGCGTGGCGCCAGACAGAGAGATCAATTGTTGGCCTCTTTCTTGAAGGCTGTAGGTCACCATGTAGAGAGGCTCCATTCTTTTTCTTAGAGGACAGACATAAATATGCCATCAGTTAATTAGCATCCTCTCCAAACGTGCTCCTATCACTTCCCTTTGGTCCTAATGCTTTTTGCATGGATTGTGGAAGCTACTTCTTGAGGTCCCTGGGAATCCTCTTGACCCACATACAAGGGCTCCCCTCCCCACCTCCAAAAAAAAAAAAAAAGCTTCCGCTGGGTGGAGCTTTTGTAGCACACATTTTTCCTGCTAGGTGAGTATTGACCAAGTCACCCTGCATTAGTGCCCCCAGTGGCATCGCCTGGGAAGGTTCTCTCCTGTCACAGTGAATTTCTTCGTAAAAGCCGTTTCTCTGGAGCCTTGTTTTTTGAGATAGCCACAAAAAAAAGAGAAGAGCATGTGACTGTGAAATTTTGTTTCCTGCTTGGGAAAAATGCCGCAGAAACTGTTGTGATGTTGAACACATCTTACAAGGACAGTGCTATGGGAATAACTTAAGTGTATGAGTGGTTTTGGTGTTCAAAAAAGGTGACATGTCTATTGATGACAAACCTCGTTCTGGCTGTCAACTTCCTGAATGGACAAAAACGTCAACAAAATTCATGCACTTGTGCTGGAAGACTGATGACGGACCATTGAAGAGATGGGGAAGTTATCTGTACTATCTTGGAGCTCGGTTCAGTGAATTTTAACGGACGATTTGGGAATGAGAAGGGTCACTGCGAAATTTGTGCCTCGGGTTCTGACTGACCAGGAAAAAGAGCATTGAGTGGAAACACGCTGTGCTTTGAAAGAACAGCTCTGAAGCACCCCGGACTTTTTCCCCAAGGTCATTACTGGTGATGAGACAGGGTGCTATTATGTCCCCGAAACCAAGTATCAGTCAAGCTAGTGGAAAATGCCATGGTCGCCTCGCCCCCAAAAAGCTCAAGTGAAATCAAAGACCAAGACGATGCTTTGCTTTTTTATACGATGGGGAGAGTGCATTTGGAGTTCATTCCACCAGGCCAGACTGTTTGTTAACCAAGTTTTCTATTCAGAGGTTCTGAAAATATTGTCTAACAGTGTGCGACCAAAAAAAATCTGATTTGCGGCAGACTGGGGACTGATTTTGTCACAACACACCTGCTCATGCAACCATCTCAGTGTGCAAATTTTGGCAAAAACGGCATGCCTCTCTTGCCCCACATTTATCTGACATCACTCCTTAAGTCTTTTTTTTTTCTGCGAATGAAGAGGGACATTAAAGAACAGCGATTTGACGACTAAGTAGAAGAGGTGAAAAAAAGAGGGAGGTGCTGCCAGCCTTCTAAACAGATGAGTTTGAAAAATGTTTCCAAGAATGGAATCACAGATTTGACAAATATATTAAGTATAATGGAGAGTAGTTTGAAGGTGATAAGGTTGTTTTGTAAAAAAAAATAAATAAATATAAAGCTTTGGGGGAGGGATTCCATTTTTTGGGGGGGGTTACCCAAAAAATGGGCCTAGTGAATGTATAAAAACAATGTTACCAGATTCTCTAATGTAAGCATCCATCAAACACCTACTCCAGGTCAATATTGAGCTAAGTACAGTGATACCTCAATTGTCGAATGGCTCTAAGCTTGAATTTTCCAGCACAGTTCAAAAAAATCTATTCATAATTTCACTCAATAGTTGAACTGAAAATTGGACTTAGCAAACCTTGCATGGGCTGAGAGTGAGCCTCACTTTGTGTCTCACCCTGGACACCAAGGGGTGATGATTCTTCAGTTTAAGTGCTGTTCTCGCTCGGACAACATACAGTGCTTGTGTTACTGCATTGAAACTTTTGTCACCGAGCTCTTTTTGCATTTCATTTGTGTAAAATGTCGTAACCATGGCTCCAACGAAAGTATACTGGCAGTAAAGCTAAGAGGAAAACTCCGAGAACCACAATAAAGTTAGAAAGAGATCATTGCAAAAATTGAATCAGGTCGCTACCACTTGCCTGATTTGGCGGATGAATACATGATTAAGTAGACATTATCAGTATAAAAAAAGAAAAGTGATTAAAGCGGCTATTGTAGTAAAAGGTGTGAAATCGTTAACCATGAAACAAAGAACTCAGACCATCACAGAAGGTGAAACGTTACTGTTAATTCAGATAAATCAGAAATGACTCAAGGCAGTGCTGTGAGAAGGCTGAACGCCTCCATAGTGAACTTATAGGTGTAATTTTGGGGCTTCAAACTAATAATTTGGTTTTCCACAATTTCTTAGGAATATGTTCAGTTCTCAAACTTTTTGGTATTTGAACACAAATTTGTAATGAATTAACAATCAAGGTATCACTGTATCTTATCTTTAAAACTCATCCTGCAAGGCTATAGAAATCAGAACCAGAGAGGTTAAGTGATTCAGTTGGACACAAAGACATTACAAATGGAAGATTTCAGTCTAGTCGATGCAGTCTGTGGCCTGCCTCTAAGCCACTACTCCACATTGCCTCCCTCTAGTACAGTGGTTTCAACCTTCCTAATGCTGCAACCCTTTAATACAAGTTCCTTATGTGGTGGTGACCGCCCAACCATAAAATTATTTTTGCTACTTCATAACTGTAATTTGCTACTGTTATGAGCCAGGTGACTCCTGTGAAAGGGCGGTTCAACCCCCAAAGGGGTTGCAACCCACAGGTCGAGAACCGCTGCGTCTAGTAGGTCTCAGGATACCTGGGCTAGAGGAGACAGGGGTTAATGACTAGCAATATAGTGTGACAATTAAGGGATTGGGGAGAGAGAGCAGGACATTACCCCTCCACCCGGTCACTGACTGACTTGGAAACCAACAAACCAAAAGCCCCAGGCCCTGCATGCCTCCCTCCTTTTGAAGACCCAGGAGGCTCTCCTCACAGAACACATGAGTCAGAGGCTCAAAAGTGGGTGGGGAGTGGACAGGAAGGCCAGGGCTCTCTGGGAGACTTTAAGGTAACACCAAATGATAAAGAACTCCTGGTAGCAGCTGGTGGATGGGTGTAGCTGTCAACGGTACTATACCCCCCACCCACCCAATTTGGAGTTAGTTGGGGCTGGGGAGTGGGACAGGCCATCTTGTGGATCCAGGACAATAAAGTGACAGATGAACGTGTTATATAGGAACTCTGGTAAGGTGGAAGGCCTCCTCATCTGCCTGACACTTGCCACCCTGTGGACTAGAAAGGCTTCTACTTTGACACTTAATCCTCAACAGTCCTTCAAAATTTAATGATGAGAAAACTGAAACATAGAGTTAAGTCACTTGCCTAAGGTCACAACCTGGACTCACACTCAGATCTGACTCAAACACTGAGACCTGGATGATAGCACTGCATAGCTGTCCCTGTCCTTGCTAATGGGCCATTTTATTTATGCCTTCTTTTTTTCCTCCTGTCCACAGCCCAACTTCAGAGAGGTAACCTTTAGCTGAGCCAGTGGTGGCAGAGCTCACTGCTTGGCTCTCGGTCAGACACCAAGGGGAAGTGCAAAACGTGTCCGTTTGTTTTGAGGTGTTCTTAGCACAAGATAGGAAATAATGCTGGATTTAAAGTCAATGACGCAAGAGGACTTTTCCTAGATGAGAGACTAGCAAGGCCCCGGGAAACGGAGAGAGTAGTCCATGCAGGGATGTGGAGAGGAGACGCACTGGTTTGCTTGAGGGAGCAAGCTCTGGGCTGGCTTCTGTGTGCTACCAGACAGCAGTCTCTCCAGCCTCCCTCCCCACCCTTCAAGCTAGCCTTTCCGGAAGGCTCGGCCCCCCTTTAGTGCTCTTTCCTCTGAGATTCTCGGGTACATTTGGTCTACATGGAGTTTCCACCTTGTGCTGCTAGCTTCCCAGTGAATCTCCTGGTGTTCATTCACTCAATCAGCATGCCAAGCACAGGCAACTCTCTCCCCACTTCCTCTAGACTTACACGGGTTACCCATGTCAACCCCAGTCCTCAAGCAAAAGCCGCAGGTTACCTCACACTTCCCTGCCCCTCCCTCCATGAAATAATTCCCCTCATTGTGAAAAATCACTTTTGTGGATCCCTATGACTTTACTTAGATTGATTTTCAGAGGTTTGCATTATAAAAATAAGAAAGGTTATTTCCCAAATATGAAAGAATACTGGAGGAAGAAAAACCAACCCACTGCAGTCAGGTTGGTTCTGACTGCTTGCCGCTCACCCTACAGGCAGAACAGAACTACTCAGGCTGTCAGTCTTCTGGGAGCAGCCACCCTTTGAACCATCCAGTTAGGTCTAATGCTTGATCCACAGTGCCACCAGGGTGTCTTCACAGGCTTTCTAAATATACTTCCCTGCCCCAAGGGCAGGTTGGGCACTATTTAGGGCCAGGGCCACACACCCCCACACCCCCACTGACCAGCACACACTAGCTACTCTCATAGTTCTCAGTTAACAATTACTCTCAGTACAGGGCTTTATGACCCTATAAGCACTCCAGTAATATTAACAATAACCAGTTTCCTTTATTGTTCCTGAGAATTCTAATTGTTGGGAGCTTAGAAGTCCCACATTGAATAATTTTTCTGGATTCAAAGACTGGATTCCTGAAGTCTGCCTCAGGACTACATAGCTCTGAGGTGAGAAAGTGTCACTGCCCTGCTAAGTGACCACACTGCTCTCTTCCAGGGAGCCCAGAGGAACGAGGTCTGATACAGTGGAAAGCTGGGGCCCATGCCAACAGTGAGACATCCGCCAGCCTCAAGAGCTACGACTTCCCTATTGGCATGGGCATGGTTAAAAGGACGGCCTTTTTGAAGTACATTCCTATCTGTCCAGTCTTCAAAGGATTTTCAAAGCCCAAAGCAGAGTTTCCAGTTCCAGAAAACACTCCAACAAATACAGAAACTGGGTCTGTGTGCACCAAGGTCTAAAAAATTACTTTCAGGAAAGGTACGGATGGGCGAGAGTTCTGTGGCTTTTGTGGGAGGGTTGACAAATTGAGACCCAAATTACTCGGCTTTCATCTCGGTGATCTATTGAGCATCCCCAAGAGGATATGAACTGGATCAAGTTTATATTGATTTTGGGTGAGGCTACTTAGCCATTTTATATGAGAAAGAGCAGAATTCCCCAACTGGTGTGGGCCACAAAGAGGTTACTGGTACACTGAAACATTGTTCCCTTCAGGGTCCCTTGACAGAATCTAGGCCAGTTAGAGCTAATGAGCTAATAACTCCAGTCACAGGCAGCCTCATCTTGCACTCCATGATGCTGCACAAGCACTGTATCACGTGGAAGACTGATGCAGCACAGTCAGATCTCACTTAAGCCATCTTTTCAATGCTGTTGTGTGCCATCAAGCTGATTCGGACTCACAGTGAACCTATGGAAGAGAGCAGAACTGACCGATAGGGTTTTTCTAGGCGGGAATCATGATGTAAGATGTCCAGGTCTTTTGTCCCAGAGCTGCTGGTGGGTTTCAACAGTGGATCTTTCAGTCAGCAGTCAAGCACTGAACCGTTGGGCCGCCCGGGATTCCTTCCATTGTGACAACAGGATGACTACTCTAATGCCATGTCAAAGTCCAGTGGGGTAATTCATTTGTCCCAAGGGATTTAAAATTGAGTAGCTGCTGGTCTGAACTCTCCTGTTGTCTACCTGGAATACAGATGCTTGTATGTAAACAGCAAAGTATTTTCAAATGTGCATGTCCCTGTAAATAGGAAAAGGTCAATAAAAATGACAAGTTTAGTCTTGAGGGGTCAGCTGCTCATGAGCCATGTACTGCTCTTTTGGTACATACATATGGCTGTGAAGTATAACGGAACATTAAAATAAAATTATCAGTTTACTTTACGTTTTCCTTATTTCCTTTCTTCTCACAGAATTTCTAAATTGTTGAGGAGCAGGGTTGGCTCCTTTGTCTCAAGTTTGCCAATCCCTGCTCTAGATGACTCCTTATTAGCAATTATAGCCATCATTTAAGTAGGACTTGCTATGTGCAAATACTCTCTAATGTGGTTAGCTGTACACTAGCTTTTCAAACCATCCTGAGATACATGCTGTTAGTGCCATTTCACAAATGTTGGGAACTGAGGCCCAGAAAGGTTAAACACATGCTCATATCTAGAAAGTCCAACTAGTCTTTGTTCTTAATCATGAAAAGTTCTAATTTTTTAAATAATCCCTAATTATACTACACTATGCGAATTGCCCTGGGGGCGCAGTGGGTTAGGCACTGGGCTACTGACCACAGTTCAAACCCACCACTGGGCACTCAGTGGGAGCCAAGGTGAGGGTTTCTGCTCCCATAGAGATATACAGCCTAAAAAAAGTAGACAGCTTCAGAAGCCCAAAGGGGAAGCTCTACCTCACGCTCTAGGGTTGCTATGATTTCACGCGAAGGAAGTGAGTTTAGTGTTTTATAATTTGCAGTAGCTGAGAAAGGAAAGTCCTGTAAGCCTTGTGCATGACAGCCCGTCACTTACAGTACCTGAGATTTTAAGACAATGGGGGGAACAGGGGGAGGCTGGTTGTATTAAGGCTCACCCCACCACCACCAAAAAAAAAAAAAAAAAAAAGGCAGAATGTCTGTGCTTCATAGCTTCTTTAAAAAGCCATCTGCCCATGATTATTGAAGTGATTAGAGCGCACCGGGGCACAGGTGCTCACACCTGTGGACCACCCAGGAGAACATGGGCCAGAATCAAATCAAACTATATAACTTTTTTTGAGAATCTTCCCATGTTGCTCTTTACATTGCTAGGGGGAAAAAAAACCAAGGACTTCACCGGTCATGAATTCATTACTGCTAGCATTATGATACTGACCCTGCTCTAGGCCAAAGGCAGAGAAAAGTTTCAATGACAAAGACTGAAATTCTCGTAAGCCAAAAAAGCCCAAATGAGAACAAAAGGTGTTATCAAGGGTTGAGTAGGTTCGTGAGGTAGCATTGTGTGTGGAAACAGTTGGCTGACAGCCTGGCCCACAAAATGATTGGCTGCAGACATAAATCACTTGTGGTGGGGAGGGGGACAAAGTCTGGGTGAATCAAAATAGCAAACCAACCCAATTAGACCAGCCATGACTTGTGAGGCTCAGGAGCCACAGTGGAGGTTGGATTATGGAGCAGGGCCAGCACTATGATGGCCAGAAGGTTCTTAACCTGGCTGTCCTGACCAGACAGCCTGAGCAGACCAAGGACGGGAAAGGAAGGGTCAGCTACACAGCCTGTCTTGTAGGCTATGAACAAGACATAAAAACCTGCTGTCTCGGCACACCCCGCAGGACTGATGCAGCAGGATATCACTGGCGCAGACATCACCCCTGGAAAGTCTGCATCCCAGCACCCAATAAACACAAACACCAGCTCAGTTCTACTATTATTTATTTTTTTAAATATTTTTGAAAAAATATAATTTTTTTACAATATTTTCAACTTAAACACTATTCACACTGAACACGTATGGCAGCTTAACCTACCCAAATATGAAGTTTAAGAAGCCAAAACTGTTCTAGCTTTGTTAAAAGAAAAGTTGTGCTGTAGACTATTGTGATGGTTAACAATGCAAGGAAAAGCACCACTCAACCATAATGTTACAATTTCTTTGCTCAATAGGATTATTGGTTGGTCAAACGTTAAGACTTCACACAGTATGATGTAGAATACTCCTTAGAATATGCAATTCTTAAGTCACATATCTCTGCAGATGTATTAGGAGAATTCAACATTTCTGACACAGTAACATGCCACAAAAGTCAGCAATAATTTTCTTTTCATTACCTGTAACCTCAATAACCAAAGACATGTCTTTAATAAATTATTTCAAATTAACTAGCTGTTCTTCTTAGAAAAGGGGGACTCTTTGTTTTATAATGGGAGCAAATGCAATTGAAATGGGTATTATGGGAATTGAGAAATTTCCTTAGCATTTGGACTTAACTTAGATTTACTAATTCAAAAAGGTCTTGGCATTAACAAGTTGCTAGTTCATCCTAAGAAACCAGTTCAGCATCGCAACAGACAGTAAGGTAAGATTTAGAGGTTAACATTTAATTTGGTACTTTGTCACAACTTGACTGGTGCTTCTTCCCTTGCTGTCTTCACATCAAGCCATGGAAACAATTCTATTTTCAGTAAATGTTTGACAGCTTTTTACTTAATAACAGTCTCAGCACTTTTATTAAGCATGCAAGACTAACAAAACTTTGGCAATGCATAAGTGTAACACAGTGACGAGAGAGCTTTTACAAGTAAGTCTTCTAATACTGCCTTCACAGTGTGGAAATTGTGCTACATCCACCAAAAGAGGGCCCCATCTACTCAAATATTTTAGTACTTCACCCCAGGAACAAACTCCTTTGCATTTGGATTCAGATTGCTCTTGACCTGGAAAATAAGTACATAAAAAAGCACGCTCATTAACAGATGGTTCCAGATACTCAGAAGCATTCAACCCAGATCCACATGCAAAAACATCGTCTACAAAATACAAGAAGAAAAAAAAAAAATCAAGAACTCAGATCTAAACAACCCAAAATCTAAGGCAGGAAAAGTAAGAACCAGGTATAAGCAGTATGTATTATATCAATTTATATCAGCCTTTCTAAAGAGACAGGAACGGAAACTGTTTGCTTAGGTGTAACCAGAAGTAAATGATCTGCACAGAAACTAAGAAAAAATGGCAGTCAATAGGAATTGTGGATTTAACTATGTTAACTTTTTAAAATTATGCAAACATGGAAAACAAGTGTGGCAATTATGATTAAAGTGACTGGGGAATTGTTTATGGAATGTTTTTACTTTATAATCTTCGTGAAGAATATGAATTGCTGTCTTCTAATTCCAACAGGAAGGCTGGTATTTAACAAGAAAAGAAAACTACATGGGAAATAGAAGACCTAAGCCTGAATCTCAGCTCTGCCTTTAACTTCCTATGTAACCTTGGATAAGTCACTCCTTCTGGGAGTTTTAAAGCACTTAAAGAAGTGGGAATGAGGCAAAGTCTCTAAGAGCCTTAGAGACCGGCATCAGCATTCTTCCAAAATTCAAATGTTACTTTAAGTGGATGTGTCAGAGGATTGGGAAGAATAACTAGGAATTTTCCTCTGCCACATCCAGGACTTCAGGTTAAAAAACAAAAATGGAAAAAGGATGGACCTTCAAGCTCTTCTAAGTGCAGGTATGCTGGCAGGCTTTTAAATTGAATCTGACCCCTACACATCACTTACTTCAAGACCAAAGTATTAATATTTAACATGTTAGAGCAATAATTTTAATATTATAATTTATATACAATCAATTCCTTGAACAGGGCAGTCTCTGTCTTCCCTCAAAGGAAATATATCTATACTTCTAAAGTGTGAAGTTTAAATAAAGAAGCAGTATTCTTGGATGTGCAATCTGTTAGTAGCTACCAAAGAACAAATTCATTGCAAAAAGTCAGCATAAAATACATTATGTTCTGTATTATGGACTTATACCAGATCCACATTAAAGGTATATATTACTTATCAAGCATTAAGAATTATTTGTGGAGTGATTAATGTAGCCATAACAAGTATATCCCAAAATAATTCAGATCACATATCAGCTCAACTGGGTTATCATCACTTACTGCAACATAGGCGCTATAGCACAGTGCAATTTCAACATTCCCCCAAATGAACATGCCTAGGAGACTGATTTCTGCAGGACTGGGTGGAGCTTAGAAACAGAATTTTTTTCCTCTATTGTTTCAAAGATAATTATGATGTATAGCCAGGTTAGGAAACTGCTGCTCAGTGAACAGAAGACAAAAATAAACAAACAAACAAACAAATAAATAAAAAAATAACAAGTCCTGTGAGCAAATTCTAGAGAATTGTCTTGCAGAAGCAACTGGAATTGTAAACACAGATGAAGGACTAACATTCAGGTTTAGTGAAAATTTTGATTTCTGAAAATTATTTATCTTAATTTTAGTGAAGGACATTTGGTTCTAGTCCAATGCTAATACTTAGCTATCACAATTCTTGGAGAAACCTTTTACTTCAAATATACGATTGGCCATGAGATACTGCAAACAACTAAAAAGGCAAGTAGGTATGTGCCCCTTTTCTGCCTAAAGTTTGTATAAGTCCTTATTAAGTCACAGTTCTAAACGGAGTGAAGTACCTCAACTAAAACCCTGAGCCAGGAAAAGATTTCTGAAAATCCTTTCTGCTGAAATTTTACAAACTTTATCAAGTGTCTAGGGTAAGGTTAAAGAGCAAACCCTGTTCAAGCCACTTATGTACAGGCAAGTCATTGAAAATATTGTGTTTACTTGTATTAATTCTTTAAGATATTTATGTAACTTTTTAGTATCACAACTAAAAGCAGTGGCCAGAAGACTGTTTGGTCTAAGACTAGCTCCAGAGCATGGCTAGCAGTCACTCCACGTCATGAGTAAGACTGGTGGGGGCTCTGAAGGGACGAGATGCAGCACTCTTCTTAAACAGATGGTGGCTGGTTTTTCCACTTATAGGCAAGATGAGCTAGGTTTTAAAAAGAGGAAAAATAACTGTTTACCACAAGATCTTCCAGAGGAGAGCCGTCACTGATAACAAGGTCATTAAATTGGTCCTGGATTTGGTCCATAGTTTGTGGAAGATCTCGAGCTGGAATAAACCACTCATGTTCTTCCTCCTCTTCCAGCATTTCTTGGAAACAGCGTTCAATAAATTCCTCTTCCCATAACTCCTCTTCTATCTGTATTTATAACATATAAGACAATTTATAGCACAAGTGGTAAGTTGCCACTAAGAACAGCTTAACAATATCTGGAATCAAATAATTTTGAAATACAAAATCATACTTCCTCCTCTGCTAAGGGGGGAAAAAAGTTTGCCATGAAGACCTGAGAAGATCTCTCAAGACTTTTGCTGTCCTGTATTGAACATGATACTGTTTTTCACTGGTAGTAATGAAGAAATAATAAGGGAGTGGCTCTCATTTAGAGTAACCTGCATCAGAATTGCTTGTGATCATTTAAAAATTATACAAATCCTAACTCCACCCCAAAATAAATGCAACTGTCTTTAGGGGGTTAGGGTGAGAACAGGGGTAAACCAAAGCAAAGAAATAAAGAAACCAAAGTAGTTCTCACTGAAATAAGGTAACACCCACAGTTTAGCCTTGAACATCTACTCTCAGATGCTGAGATGTCACCAAAACCATGGTAGAAAGACCAGAACAGATGGCAGAAACACGCATGAAAGGCAACACTTTTGAGTGCATTAGAGTTGTCTTAAAATTAAAAAATTTGGTCTCACAATTTCTCAGGTTAATCATACTGAAAACTTTAGGTGAGAAATAGCAACAACTCTTGCACCCCGGGATAGCTATGTCCAAGTCTCTAATTCCTGAAATCTCTTTACTTTATAGTAGTGTAAATCTGATTGGTGTAAAGCAGTGGCTCCAAACCTGACTGTTCTCTGGAACCATCTAGGAGCTTTAAAAAAAAAATGTTTCCCAGGCTCCACCCTAGTATTCCTTTACCAGAATTTCTGGGGGTAAGACCCTAAAATAAGCCCTCTTGTTTCAACAAGCAGTTACACCTAGTTGTAATCTGGTAGTCATCTCAACACGTAAATATTACAAGCAGTCTTATGAGGTGAAGTAAAAACATTTCTACTAGGGTTCCAGTTCATACATAGAAATGTTTATTCCAAGGAAAATGAGTTTAAACATGCCTCTGTGATTAGTGGATGGCTGCAGACAAGTTCTCTCAGTAATA